TGAACTTCCCTTCTGATTTTGATGCTCGAAGTACGATTGATGGAAATGTTTCACACGGTGCTCGTGAAGGATCGCTGCAGAGCCTACTGAAATCCACTCTGAACCAAGCTGCAGAGCTCACTGAATCTGTTTCACCACGGAAGCTTTCCAAGTTTTAATTTAGCCTGCTAAGTACTCTTAGGTTCTGCTAAGTATTCACTTTTTATGCGCCGATTTCGGCTTCTTGGCCAGTGCCTATGGCCCAGTGCCGATTGTTCGCAAGAGCATCCACCCCACCCCACACCCCCTGCACCTGTCTTTTCTTTCCTTGCCTTTTCGTTTGTCTTGTTCCTTCCTTCAGGCTTGTTAGGTGACCTCCAGGCTCGTTTAGTCAACGCACGCCCTGCCCCCCCGCACCCCTTGCACCTTTCTCTTCTTTCCTTGCTTTTTCGTGTTTCTTGTTCTTTTCTTCAGGCTTGTTAGGTGACATCCAGGCTCGTTTAGTCAATGCACGCCCGAACACCCGTCCACACCCCTGGCAAAAAGGAAAAGAAAAAGAAAAAAGAAACAGAAAACAGCACACATTGTGCTGCAATGCTACAGCCACATCGAAGAAACGATTGCGGAGTGATTATGAGCATGCGTGACCATGAGTTGACTTCTTCTCCCTTAACTAGCTGCGCCGTTTCATCCTTTTGTGCGTGCGTGTGTCCAACCCCGTTCCAAGGGGCAGTCACTAACCTATTCCGCTTGTTTTTATTCACCTGTACAGCTGCAGGGGGCTCACGGGTCTGTTCCTGGCGTGAGCCAACGAAGCTCCAGGTTCAGACTAGGATATCGAAAGAGGACGCTCTTTCGACGTACCTGCCAATGTTTCAATCACTTCCTTCGATTCATTTCAAGCTTGTTGAAACATTCTGTTGAACTGACCCAGCATTCTTACCGTTGCGTCGAGTCAAGTGCTAAGTATTCATTGGCTACTGCAGTGACATAAAGGGCTAATTGGGCTAATGTTCACCGCGAATCTCTGAAGCCACGCTCCGCGGAGCACTTGTTTAATCGATTAGTCACGTCTCACCCTTGTTGAAACATTCTGTTGAACTGACCCGGCATTCTTACAGTTGCACCGAGTCAAGTGCTGAGTATTCACTGGCTACTGCAGTAACATAAAGGGCATTAAAGGGCTAACGTTCACCGCGAATATCTGAGTCTCACCTGTGTTGAAACATTCTGTTGAACTGACCCAGCATTCTTACCGTTGCATCGGGTCAAGTGCTAAGTATTCACTGGCTACTGCAGTAACATAAAGGGCTAACGTTCACCGCGAATCTCTGAAGCCACGCTCAGCGGAGCACTCATCTCAAGTGTGTGTTTAAAGTGATGTTTGGGGGATGGGGGTTGTCCTTCTCAAAACGGAACTGGTGAAAACCGATGTGGTTGAAGGCATCAGAAGCTGTCCATCATGGGCCCCACAGTCCAACTTTGTCCCTGCACAGTTTGATCAGTTTGTATGGGTTCCGTTTGCATTATGAGAGTTGACCACCATGGTATCATATGTTGCTGGTTTTGGGGGGCGTGGAGACTTAAAGTGGATTGTGCAAAGTACGTCGTCCATAAACAATTTCCTCGCGGATGTGTGCATATACATACCTAGATCTTCCAACTGTGCAAAATGTTTGCCTTTTTGTTGGTTTAATTGATGAAAAGGCAGAAATTCTGCACAGTTGGAAGGTCCAGGTATATGAACTATATATATTATATATATATATATGATTATAAATGTGAGTAGTTTGATATTTGGAGCCCACCCACTCCGGCACCAAGAGCTTGCAAAAGAAAAACAACCCAAACTCCCAAATCTTTTGGTCCTTCAAAATACTTCAGTTTGAGGGTCAGCTTGAATAGTTAAATCGCTCTTTTGTTTGTGGCGCAAAGTCTCTCAAGTCGCCAGGCAGTGGCGAAGCTTTCGAGGTGTGCTGCACCCAGCTGCAAGCACCGGGTTTTCGCCCCATTTTGCCGCGGGGTTTGATGGACCTGAATCGCGGCTGGCTGGGCCGGACGGAGGAGGCTGAAACCTTGTTTGGGAAGGGTGCCTTGAGCGCGTGGTCCAAGGACGGGTTTTCTTCGGAGAGGCAGAAGGTACTCCGCGTGCGTTTCTTGCGAAATCGCACACAGGGAGGGGAGGGGCATGGAGGGACCATGAGGGACCCATACAAAGCAAAATAGGTGCCGCTTCGCCAAGAACCAAGTGAGACGGCGTGTACACGTTGGGTCCCTCTTTTCCTTTGGAGCCAAACATGAAGCGGTGGAGGTCCGGAAGGGAGTTTGCTGAAACCAGAGAAGACTTGCAGGGATTCAAAGAAACTAATTGGCTGACATGGAAGATTGCTGGCTCAGAACGTGGGAGAATCCTCGGTCATGGACGACAGGAGCACCTCAAGGTCGGCGCTTCGGAGCTGTTGGAGACGTGGTACCGGAACGCTTTGCATGAGATCAGGATGGCCAGTGAGCTTGGGCATGGAATGGTGGAGATTCATAGTAACGAGGCATGAAAATGGTACTGGTACTTGAAGTGAAATCATCCGAACGCAGAAGGTGGAAGTATGAAACAGAGTGGTGAAAAGACTGGCAGTTGTGCCTTCTCTCCAGCATGACCATATCACAATCATATCAGGTATATTAACACTTCCATCCACTTCCCACATGTGTTCACATCTTCCCAAATCAATCCACTCCACTCCAAGGCTCCCCTAGGCAGACCCCAGGGCTATGGCGTTTCCCCCAGCGTTTCCCCCCTAGGCTATGGCGATTTGGGCTCCACCTACGACCGCCTCCGCGGTGGCCGCCCGCTGCGCCGGTCGGAGGCGGCGGTGGTGCTGTCGACGCCCTGGGCCACGCAGCTCCCGGTGGGCCTGGCGCGGCTGCTGCCGGGAGACCTCCGCGGGACACCCAAGGCGCGGGAGAATGCGGTCTCGCGGTGCGCGCGGTGAGAAGCGCGCTTCTGGGCTTAGCTCGGGGGGTTGGAGGGAGTAGCTGACTAGCTCCAACAAAAAGAAGGCTCAAAAGAGAGGAGGGTTTGGGAAATACGAGTGTTTGGGACTGGAAGCCTTTTTCAAGCCAAGCCAAAAAGTGCGTTCGACTTGGAGGTTGGGAGTCATTGAGGATGGTTCTTTAAGTATTACCGTGCTTGTGGCGCACTTGCAAAAAGCCAAGACTGATCATAAGATATCATAAGCAAGCCGAGCATACCTGCAAAATCATCCAACTCGAAAACTGTGCCCATGTGTTACATGTGTTCATTTGTTTTCAAGTTGCCAGCTTAATCCATGAGTGGGAGGGGAGGGAGCCCCACACATACCCATCACTTTGGGTGTTTGCCCCTCACCTGACTCTTCATTTTGGCCTTTTACCTTTGCGCCGTCCTTCAGTGCCCTGCACCCGTACGCCGGTTTACCGATGTGCGCGCTGCACGATGTACGTGGTCAGGCCTTGGAACGACTCGTGGATGAGGAGCTGGAGCGCGCAGGCTTTCACCTGGGCCCTTCGCCCTACCCGGCGCAAGGCCCCTGGGCGCTCTCCACCCGATTCCTAGCAGCTCGATGGTTCCGCTGGCTGGCACAGAAAGGGCGCGGTGACGCAACCAAAATCGGAAGAGTGTGTTGGACTTTTGAGCTTGTAAGTGCAGAAGTGGAGCATGTTGATTCACCTTCTTGTTGGAGGATTTTGTTTGAAACATGTTTTAAGGAGTTTGAATTTGACTTGATTTCTGCCTTTAGGGAGTTTGCTTATTGTTGCTTATGATGTTGCTTTGTTGGGCCGTTCTCTTCCCGGCTTTCTGCTTCTTCGCCAGGCACCTCCCCAGCGCCACTGCGGAGCACTTGGTGACCCTCGCCTGGTGCAACGAGCACGACGCGGAGACCGAGCAGGTGGCCACCGGACAGCTCGACGCGAGGAACGACCACTCGCGGCTGCAAGGGGTCCGGGAGTTGGCACTGCGGATGGGCGATTGGTCACATGCGGCCAGTCAGCTTGGGGATGAGTTTTGCAAGGAGGCGTGCTGGGTTTTTTCCTGCAGCCGCGCAGCCCAGCTTTTTTCGTGATGTGATGTTGATGAAAGAGAAAGCAGTGAGGATAATTCCAACCAGTATAAAGTGGGTTTCAACAGGCCTGAAGCCTGAAGGCTGAAAATTGATTGTGACTTTGGCACGTGAGGCTGGGTGCTTTACATTGGTCATTGAGATGAGGTGCGATTTGGTGAAGAGTGCAGAGGCCTTTGGGACTGCTATCGCAGAAGCATTACGCCGCTACACTGCCTGAAGCTCCAAACGTTTCCAGACGAGGCCCTCCACAGTTGCCCGCTGGATGAATTTGCTGCTCAAGTCACTTGCACAGATGCCCGACAAGAGGGCGCCACTTTGCATGTGGCTTGCTTGGGCCACAAGACCTCATGCTTGAGGCAGCAGTCGCTGAAAAGGTTCGCACAATCCGAATTTGTCGCTGCACAATTATGAACATATGTTTATTGGGTTTTATGGGCAAGATAGTCCAGCACCGCCCTGAAGCATCAATTTTTGATTTTAAACGCGCGCATCATACATTTCACTTGTGCAGTAGACAGAGTCCAAAGAACAAGTTTGGGGCCATTGAAGTGTTGTTTGTTGTTATAAAATTACACGTCGTTGTTACCCACCAGTGCCTCAAATTCCCTTGTAATTCGTGTGTGCTTTTGGGAATCCAGTGATGTTCCAGTTGGCTTTGCCATGGGCAATGCCCTTCTCGAAGTTCCAGGGTTGGGTCGGTGTGGGTCGACCCCCGCCCTTCCCAAAACCAGGAGAGAGGAGAGTGACATGGACATTTTGATGAGTTTTGGAGGTTGAAAGTGCTATCGTCACCGGTCCGGCTGGGCCCATTTGTTCGTGATATCGTCCCCATGTTCGTCACCTCTTGGGCGTTTTGGGCCCTGGATCACTCGATCAGATCTCTTTCTGGCCGCCCTGCGCCGATCCTGGAGAACCCATCAGGTTCACTATGTCCTCTCCTGCTTCTATGAGAAGAACCACCGTCCAGCACTGGCAGTAGAGCCTTGCCTGTCACCCATCCTGTCAATTCCGCAAGTGAAAACGCTCGTTGGTCTCAACGAAATTTGCGCAACACAAAGATCAGACGTGCACTAATTAGTGGTTTCCATCATTTTCCATCCACATGCAGCTTCCCATGTCATGAACAGCAAGCATCAACTTCCGGCAGCGTCCGGCCGTCGAATCTCGGTCCGAATCGAATCACTCACCGGGCGACCGGAGTCCTCCGGTCCTCCCGTTTGGCCGCGCAGCGTGCGAAACGGTCTCCGTTGGGTGCGAGGAACATTTGCAAGGGATTTTGGACCTGGAACTTCGTGCACTTGGAAGGATCAGCCCTTCGAAGTGGGAGCTCCTTGGCGACCACTAGGTGTGGGTTTCTGGCCTTGCACAGCCTTGGGCTGCCGGATTTGTTTCCCAAATCAAACGCTTCAGGGCAAAGATGGATGCGGTTTGTTCTTTTACGTGTTCTAGGGTTTGAAAGAAGATGGAACATGCATGAACATGCCAAAGTCCAGTAAGAATGGTTTCCAAAATTCATCTACTTTTGAGTAGAACCCTCTTCCAAAATGACGAAACGGTCGCGGAAAGGCTCCCAAACGGCGAACCGGCGGCTTCCAAGGCAGAAGGGTGACCAGCTGGTCATGAAGGGCGACCTGCCACAGGCGCGTCGAGGTCGAACGATCCGAAAAATCAAAAGCCCGCCCTTCATGAAGGGCTATGAGAAGTAAGGGCTAATGAGAGGGCTTTCTACCAACTATGAGAGGGGAAAACCAGCAAAACGGGCACGCGGCACCGCACGCGGGTCTTTTTCATAGCGAAAAGGCTTCTTCTTTCGATTCGGCTCCGACAAGGTCAGCAGACCCTCCGGACCGATTCGATTCGTGAATGGGCGGAAGGAAGGTCATCGTCTCTAGGAAGAAAAACCAGCTGTTTCTCGCTGGCCACAAGCCCAGAGTGTTGGATGCCCTTGGAAAGAAGCCTTCCCCACTTGGAGAAGTGTTTGAGGGATGCTTGCTGAAAGGTGCACAAAGAATAAAGCCCCATTCATCCCAATTCAAGGTCCCAAGGGTGTGCACATATTTGTGCATGTATTTTCGTGCACACTTGCATGTGTTGAAACTGATTGGTGAATGCGGGATTTTTTGCCCAAAACACAGTGCCGGTTTGCTCGACCCACACTGCATGGGCTTCTGAGGTGGTTTTTCTTTTTATTTTAACTGTGAAGGGATGGGACGCAGGGTATGAGGTCATCACAGAAGCCTGTAAATTGCATTATAGCATGCCTCAGCAGCGCCAGGTTCGCATCGGAGAGTGTCTTTCGAGTGTCTCGGACTGCGCGGGCACGACGAAAAGAAAGCGCTGCAGGCCTTCGAGTGCTATGCCCAAGTCTTGAAGGCGATGGATGAGATGCAACGGTGAAGCCGTGCGAGACCAATGGGTGTTCTAGAGGTACCCCGAATGGATAGACATGACTTCCAATACATTCTTAGAGTCTTAGAGGCACGTGGTTGTGGGGTCACTATCATCGGGGGGCCTGTTGCAATATGTCTTGCCAACATGGTTGTCTTTGCTGCACCCTTGGCATGGAGATGTTGCACTAATGTAGTCCTCAGATTAATAAAGACCTCTAGAATTATGTCTTTTTTTTTCCCTGCACTGATTAATAAAGGCCCCTAGAATAATGTCTTTTTTTTTTGGGAGGGGTAGTTGCAGTGGATTTGTTTTTATGGTTATAGTTTACTTTTTCCCTTTTGAATTTGCTGGGATTTGCTTATCTTACAGGCTTTTGGATTGAGATTTCTATCAAACATTTGGAGATTTCCATTGAGATTTGATTCTTTTGGAGGCTTTTGGATGGAGATTTCTATTGAAAATTTGGAGATTTCCATTGAGATTTGATGCTTTTGGAGGCTTTTGGATGGAGAT